GCCCACGGCCGGCAGAAGTGGCGGTGGAGCTGTGTGCTGCTTGGGACAGGACAAGCCCTGCCGGAGCAGCAGGGGTTCAGCTGTATTTCCCCCCTGCTTGCACCGGTCAGTCCCAAGCAGCACATGGCTCTGCCGCTGCTTCTGCTGGCTGGTGTCGACCTGGCCGGCCTCCTCCCATCCCCAGCAGCACGTGGGAATCTGGCTTCAGCTGCATGCTGCTCCAGATGGGACAGACCCACCCGGGTTGGCACCAGCCAGCAGAGGCAGTGGCAGAGCCATGTGCTGCTCAGGACCGACTGGCACAGGTAGGGGGAAAGTGCAGCTGAGCCCCTGCTGCTCTGGCTGGGCTCATCCTGTCCCGAGAGGCACACGGCTACTCCTCTTCCCACACGCACCGTGTCGGCAATGAGGGGCTGGGGGAGGGACAAGGGGTGGGAACGAAAGTAAAGTGTTTACTTTCGTTTCCCATTGCAGCACTGTGGGCCTCAGAAAATGCCTTGGCGGGCCGCATGTTGGACAAGCCTGAGCTAAGGACAACAACAGCAGTGGGTGGGGGGAGAAGGACAGAGGAGAGGGGAGGAGAGAAAAGAGGTACTGAGGGGGTGAAATGGAGGGGAACAGGACTGTTATCCGATTTGGGGACTTACAAAAAAAAGTGCCCACTCTGCCTGCTTCAGAGGGTGGGGGGACGAGAGTTGGGAGTGGAGGTGCAGCCACCCCTGTAGCCCTGGTTGCTGTCCCCATACCTCCCTTCAGAAAATCCTGGATCTGCTCATGCAACTGCCTGTGACTAACCCTTTAGCCTGGCCAGTTCTTTCACAAAATCCTCCCACTGCCATGTTGTTTTAAACACTCTCTTTTCCCTTTGGTATATTTGGCTCTTGCTTTCTGTGTCTCTTCCTCCTTTGCTTGCTGTTCAAGACCCCCTCACATCCAAAAAAAGCAGACCAGAGCCTGATTGCCACAGGGGGTGATCTCTTTGAATGAGTGACTTGGTGGACTGGAAAGGTTTATTTCTTCCCCACATGAAGGATGGAGCTTAGCTCAGAATGCTGTATTTTCCCCACTTTGGCACATCTGGGGCAAAAACCCCACATTATCTTCACTTCTTTTAATGTAAAAATATTTGACATTCCTTTCTCCAAAAGTCCAAATGCCTAGAAATGAACTGTTTGCTTTGGAAAGACTGTATTTTATGGCTAATCTGTTGGGCAAAGCCTGTCCTGTATATTTAGCAAAACAGTTTGCTCCTAGGCCTGTACTAGGCTTGTTGAGAGCTGTGTGCATTAAAAATATTAGTGATATTTTATAAAAATATATATATCTGCTCTCCCTGAAAGCTCAACATCAAGCCAAACATCACAGCAGCACATAAGATCTGGAATGAAGTTTAGAAAAGTTAGACTGCCAGCTAAGCAGCTGGGCAGAAAGCTTAAAAAATGTACTCAGAACCAGACTGACCTCCATGCATGCTAGGATGAGATACTGGCTCAGAAATGTGTCCCTCCCACTCACCTGACATTAGTATTAGTGCAATGGAAGGGCTATGAAGAGAGCTAGCCAAACTCACCTCTCACTCTCCTGGCTCCCCAAATTCCCCTGCCTCTGTTCTTCTCTGTACCCCCACAGAATGGATAGCCTTTTCACATCCACTAACAGGAACTCATTTTACACAAGCTCTTCTCCCCTGAATGTTTTGGCAGCTTAGACAGGGAGTGACATGGCTAGCTTTACATGCAAATCTGGATCCCCATAGTGAGTATGACTTCTGGGAATTGCAATGCAAATATGAAATAATCAACTATGTAATTTGATGTACATTTATCCTTTTTAGGCTGTCAGTGGTCTGTTCAGCATTCTCTACCAAGTGCTGGGTGCCTATGAGGGGATAGATTAGCTGTTGGGAAAATGAACCTTAGAAGTGGCTTAAAATTAGGTTATGCCAATCTGCATCTCATGAAAATACCCGATTCTCTTCTTAAAAGAGTCACTTAATGTAGTCTCCATGTACAGGGAACTCATTTTTTCTTGTACTCCATCTGTCAAGCTGTGTTAGAACACAACTCTGCCAGTCTATCAGTCTAGCTATTGCTTTGTCCTCCAAAACGGTAATATTTAAGCTCCTCATAACTGCTCATCCTCAGAGCAAGCCTTTACAGCAAGAGAAAGTACTTCATCCATTTCAGATACAGCACTGAAATACCATGCGACTTGCCCAAAGTCACACAGCGAGTCTGGCAGAACTTTGAATTAATACAAACCTGATGAATTCTAGTATTAAGCACAAAACCTTCCTCTCTTGATAATCCTACAAACCCAGATCACTTATCTCCATGCTAAGGGAATATCCAAGCCCACAGTGCTGCCCAGGTTTCTTAATATGCAGCTTGTATAAGAAAGGTTATGAATGGATAGATGGTATTTATATCCTCAAGTGAGTGACAGTGACAAACAGAGACAGCTGACAAGTGAAGGCCAGTCTGCTTCTCCTCCATCTCATGTGTGACTATGTCCAATTTGCTCTGCTGAATTATGCAGGCTGAGAAAGCAATGGCTTCAAGTCATGAAACCCTGACTGCATGGAAGACGCAAAGGGGCTACACACAGTTGCTATCATTTGAGTAAAATCTCCCTACATGAAAGAGATGGTGAGCAGCCTCATTAGGAAGCTGAGACAGGCCTGGGAATGCCAATGTAAACCTTGCTGCTTCCTCCTGCTGTAGCATATTCCCTCCCTCCCAAGACTACTAAAAGGCCCTGTGCTTTGGATAGCCCCATTATGTTCACCTCAACCCCAGACTGTTTGCTAAAGATTCTTCTCCAAGCTCCACACTATTTACACTCAAGTTTGGTTCCAGTAAAACAATGCCACATAAAGACATCTAGCTTAGGGAGCAGCAAAGTCAGCCCCTCTATTGGAAGCGCTATGCCAAAGGCCATGTGCAAGATGGAGACAGTAACTAAGGAACCATTCACACTCTCCAGATCTTTCTATGGATAATCTTGAATTACATTTCCAGAAAGTAGAGAAGCCTCACAGCAAACTACCTCAACACTGAGAAATGGCAAACCGCAACCTACTCCCAGGTAAGAATACTATTTGCCTACAGGATCAAACAAGAAAGCACTTTTCCTGCATGGGAGTTTTCTTCAAGGCTTTCAGAAGATAGGCTGCATAGGCTGCAAAATTTCAAGTTAGGTTCCAGTTCAACCTCTGATAGGGCAGCTGGTTTTAGAGACTAATCTCTTCTGCCCTTTCCTGTTTCCCCAGCTTT